TATGTATATTACCCTGAAATTTTGAAAATAAGATTTGTCAATCCTGGGATTCAAAGACCTTGCCTAGAATATATTGACGAAGAAATATTTAGGAATTGATGTGGATATTTAAATTTTAGTATGCATTTTATCCAAAGAAACATACACACACACACACATATATATTATTATATATATGGAGTCCTGTTGTGGCACTGTGGGCTAATGTGTCAGACTGCAAAGTCATTTGAACTGGCTGGTGGTTCAAGCTCACCAGCTGCTCCTTGGAAACTCTATACAGGGTTGCTATGGGTCAGAATTGACTTGAAGGCACTTAACAACAGCAATATATGTGTGTGTGTATATTTTTTTATATCTGGTAATTCATTCTGGGTTTCAAGTGAGAAATCGAGGTTAGAGATCAGTTAAAGCATCAGCATAATACAAATACTTCTTACAGTCATGGAACAGACTATCTGAAAGGTAGGATGTAAATAGAAAAGAGTTCTGTCACTAAGCCCTAGAATATGCTATCTTAAAAACTCTGAAGAAGCGAGGCAGACACTATAAAAGGGATGAGAAACAGAGACCAGTATATGAGAGAGAAAAAAAATTAAGGTGATCATTATGTCCTCAAAATTAAATAGAGAAACATTCAAGGGAGAAAGAATGATTAGTTGTGTGAATCACTGATGGCAAGTACATTGAGGTCTTGGATTTGATCTTTGATTATAGATTTATTTTAAGTCATTGATGCTTTCCACGCGAGCAGTATCATTGGAGTGCGGATGCAAAAATCTGACTGAAAGAGGTTTCATAAAGGAGGTGGTTAGAGAGATTTTTTTAAGTCAGTAAGGCTTTTGCAGAATTCTCCTAGAAAGGAAAGCAAACAGATTAAGTAGTATCAGCTCCAAAGGAGATATTTGTTGTTGTTGTTGTTAAGTGCCATCAAGTCAGTGCTGACTCCTAGCGATCTTGTTTAGGGTTTCTGAGGAGCGGCGTGTGGTGGAGTGCTTCTCCTACAGTGCCACGCCAGGACTGTAAGACCTGTGCATTTCAACTCAAAATGTCTATGATAGCCATTCTTTATGCATTCCATTTCACTTATAACTTCCAATTTTCCTTGATTCATACTTTGTACATTCCATGTTTTGATTATTAATAGATGTTTGCAGCTGTTTCTCATTTTGTGTTGTGCCACATCTGCAAATGAAGGTCTGAAAGCTCTACTCCATTTGCGTCATCATGATCAACTGTACTTTGAGGACACTGCTCTTCCCCAGTCCCATTTTTGTGCCTTCCAACCTGAGTGACTCATATTCCAGCACTCTATCTGACAGTATTTTGGTGCTATTTGTAATATTTTCACTTTGCAACAGTATATCTTGCAGTGTTCCACTGCTTTTCATAGGTTTTCCGTGGTTAAACCTTCAGACGTAGTCTGCCTCTCCTTCTTCCTTCTTAGTCTGGAAGCTCTGTTGAAAGCTGTCCACCATGGAGGACCCTACTGGTATTAATATACCAGTGGCATATCTTCCAGCATCGCAGCAACACGCAAGCCACCACCAGGACAATAAACTGTCAGGTGAGTGGTGGTGTTAACCCATACCACTGTGAAAAATCAACCCACTGAAATTTAATATGTTTAAAATTCTTTATGCTTTAAAATTGAGAACATACAATCAAAATACATTTTCTGGGCCATACTTAGAGTTGTTAAGTGCCATCAAGTCAGTTCTGACTCATAGTGACCCTATATAGAGTTTCCTATGAGCTGCTGGTGAGTTGGAAGCACCGACCTTGCCATTCGACCTTGTGGTCCAGTGCATTATCCTACAGTACCACACGCGTAGTGGTTACGAATCGGGCTGCGAACCTTAAGGTCAGCGGTTCGAAACTACCAGCCGCTCCGCGGGAGAAAGATGAGGCTTTCTACTCCCGTAAGGATTTATACCCTCGGAAACCCTGTACAGGGTCGCTATGGGTCGGAACCGACTCGACGGCACTTAACAACAACAACAACAACCACACCAGAGTAGAGATATTTTTTCAGACACTGTTTGTGAATATACTTAGTACCTTGTCATTGTTGTTGTGTGCCATTGAGTTGATTCTCATAGCAACCCAATGAGATAGAGTAGAATGGCCCTATAGAGTTTTCTACGCTGTAATTTTTACTGGAGCAGATCACCAGTTCTTTTGTCCTAAGATTGGCTGCCAAGCACTTAACTATAATATCACCAGTCTCCTTCCTGTGGAATACTAGTGATGATTTTTATTTCATGGATAGTGTTATATGAGTAGGGATATTTTAAACACAAATTTGGAAAAATGCAAGCAATTGTTTTCTTATCTATATGGAAGTTACTTTGCTTAGTGCATGATGTTATCTAGATATTCAATCTTAACAGTTACATTTTAGTGCAACCATATCATCAACATATATATTAACCTTAATCATGGTATGATCAGTTTATTAACAGAAAAACAGGAAGAAATAATATGAGGACACAAAAGCTAGTTGATATATGTTGTTGTTGTTGTTAAGTGCCGTTGAGTCAGTTCCGACCCATACTGACCCTGTACAGGGTTTCCGAGGCTGTAAATCTTTATGGGAGCAAAATGCCTCATCTTTCTCCCACGGAACAGCTGGTAGTTTCGAACTGTTGGCCTTAAGGTTCGCAGACCGATTAGTAACCACTATGCTACCAGAGCAATACAAGCTAAGTAGTAGATGTTACCTTCTGATAGCTGCAATATTCTCAGTTAAATTGGAAAAGATTGTCATCAAAGAATGAAAATATGTGTATCTGTCCCTTCTAGAAATAATAACAGGTGTATGATATAAAGAATTTCATTCTCATAAAATACAAGGGGGCTTCAAAAGTTCATAGAGTTCTTGAATTAAAATATAATTGAATTTTTCCATGAACTTTTTGATGCTCCCTAACATTTTAAAATGACCCTTATTATGTTGGAAATCTTTTAGGGAGAAAAGCAAAAATTTTCCTAAAAGATTCTCAAATAATGACACCATGTTTCTGAAGAGGAAGACTGGATATTTTAAAATACTAAAACTTTCTAAATTAATTTGTGTTTTTAAGACAAAGTAATTTTGTGGACATATCAATTAAATATATTGATCATGAGAGGATAAACAAATCTGACAAATACAGAAAAGATTCTATCCAATCCTAGATTTTAAAATCCCATTTAAACTCATAATAATTACAAAAGTGTTGTTTTTAAACAGACTGAGCAAAAAAAATTTTAGAAATAGATTTTAATATGTATTTACATATATACACTTGGTATATGATTTAAAAATAAGATGTATATATTTCAGTGTTTAAGATATGATAGAAACATTAAATAAAGGCTTTTAAGAAAACTTTTTAAAATTGGCTACTTTAATGATTAAAAACCTACACAATATTAAAGAAATTCAAATGAAATTTAAATGTTAAATGAAAAAATAAAAATATATACCACTAAGCACTATTTCTGGTAGCATAGTGGTTACGAATCGGGCTGCGAACTACAAGGTCAGCAGTTCGAAACTACCAGCTGCTCTGCGGGAGAAAGATGAGGCTTTCTGCTCCGGTAAAGATTTATAGTCTCAGAAACCCTGTACAGGGTCACTATGGGTTGGAACCGACTCGATGGCACTTAACAACAACAACAAAGCACTATTTCAAAGAGAATAATAAATTCTACAAAGCTTACCTTCTTTATAATCAAATTAAACCAGTATGGCTCTGTGGGTTAATGTGCTGGACTGTGAAGTCGTTTGAACTGCCAGGTTGGTGGTTTAAGCTCACCAGCTGCTCCTTGGAAACCCTATACAGGGTTACGATGAGTTGGTACCAACTCAATGGCACTTAACAACAACAACATCAACAAAATCAGGAGCCCTTTTGGCACAGTGGGTTAAGCAAAAGGTGGGCTGCTTCAACATACCATCTGCCAAGCAGGAGAAAAGTAAGGCAGTCTATAGTCTGCTTAAGTACACTGGACAAGCAGTGGGTTTATTAACATGTTATTGTTACATGCCATTGAGTGATTTCAATTCATAGTGACACTGTATAGGGTTTCGGAGGAGTGGCTGATCTGCCTGGTGTGGTTGTTGTTGTTGTTAAGTGCCATCGAGTCGGTTCCGACCCATAGCGACCCTGTACAGGGTTTCCGAGGGTGTAAATCTTTACGGGAGTAGAAAGCCTCATCTTTCTCCCACGGAGCATCTGGTAGTTTTGAACCGCTGACCTTGTGGTTCGTAGCCTGATTCGTAACCACTACGCTACCAGAGCCTGGTGTGGTGCGGTGGGTTAATACACTGGACTGCAAAGTCAGTTTGAACCGCAAAGTCAGCGGTTCAACCTCATCAGTCTCTCCTTGGAAACCCTACACAGGGTCGCTATGAGTCGGAACCAAGTCGATGGCACTTAACAACAATCTTGCAGTTAGCTGTCCGATGCTTACCATACAACGCCACACCAGGACTCCATAATCATGAAGTAAATCAACAGAGAAATGACACTGAGATGAGTACACCTGTTACTTTATAATGAACCCAATAATTTTTGGAGAATTTGCTTTTCTAAATGTGCTCTCTTTAAATCCGTTGATGCCACCAATTAAATCCACCCCCTTTGAGTCAATTCTGACTCATAGTAACACTATAGGACTGAAGAAAATTACTCCATAGAGTTTCCGGAGGGTTTGAACCGTCAACCTTTCAGTTAGCAGCCCACTGCGCTTAACCCACTGTGCTGCTAGGGCTCTTTTTGATGCCACCACAAGTAACCAAACAATGTTCTGTTGTTTCCTCATATGCAGTGGCTTATAACATTCCATTCTCTCTCTCTCTCTCTTTTTTTTTTTCTTTTGGAGTCATTCTTACTTCAGCTGAATGTCTTTACATAAAGAAACTGATGATGAAAATTGAGTTCTTCTTGGGGACTATTTTCTTGTTCCTTACTGGAACAGGCATACTTGGCAATTTTTTCTTCCTTGTTCTGCCCATGTTTATATTCTTCACTGGTCAAAGACCCTGCTTTATCTACCTGATCTTTGCTCAGTTAGGCATAGCAAATATCATGCTCCTTTTCTTCAGGGGAATCCCTTTAGTAATTTTGAATTGGAAGAATAAATATTTCCTGGATGATGTAGGATGTAAGATTGTCTTCTATCTTCAAAGAGTCGGACGTGGAGTATCTATCTGCAGCACCTGCCTCCTCAGTATTTACCAGATCATCATCATCAACTCCCACTCTGCCAAGTGGGCAAATCTCAGAAAGAATGCCCCCAAGTACAGCTTGATCTTTTCTGCCTTTTGCTGGGTACTCAATGCAGTCATATATGTTTTTATTCCAATAAGTGTAATAGGACCTGTGAAACAACAAAACGTCACACGTGGGATTGATATAGGCTATTGCTATTGGAAATATCATTTGGATTATGCAGCATTTATATATGTTGTTCGAGATGTTTTTTTTGTGTGTCTTATGATCTTTTGCTGTGCATACCTGGTACATTTTCTACACAATCACCACCAGCTTGTCCAGCACATTCATGGGGCCAAAATCACTCCCAGTAAAAACCCTGAGATCAAAGCTACCAAGAGAATTGTGCTATTAGTCATCACATTTTTCTCATTTTATTCTATCAATGGCATCCTTCTTTTATGTAATATCTACTTTCTTCACTCCAGTGTCTGGCTCCTGGACACATCTGCCTTCATGACACTTTGCTTCCCAACTTTCAGCCCCTTTTTGCTGACAACCAGTAATAATCATATAGTTAGATGGTGTGCTAACTTTGGTAGATGAAATTAACTCTCACAATAACTATAGACATTTCTAGTAGGATTTTGAAACACTAAGGTTCTGACTGACCTATGACATTAAAATATAAAATATAATTGAGTATTTCACTTAATGTATGATTTTATGACATCTTTAGGAATAAAGTTAAAAAAAAACAAACCACAAAGCTAAGTCAGATGATCACACTTTCTCCGACTGCCCTTAGTTATTTATTGCTTCTAGACAAATGATGCGTCAGAGTTATTGTTAGCTGCCATGATGTTGGCCCCAAATCACAGCAACCCTATGTGTTACAAAGTAGAACTGAGCTCCATAGGGTTTCCTTAGCTATAATATTTACCAAAACAATTTACCAGGCCTTTCCTTCTTTGGGTGTGCTCAAACTGCCCATCTTTGGTAAGCAGCAGTTGGCAAATTGTTTGAACCACCCAAGTTCCTCAAATCAAAGGTATATATATCAAACTTTACTGAAGACTATATTACATAATATGCTTTAAATTAAGTATTTAAAAATACATGTATCAAGAAGAAAAATATATTTTAACATTTATTGAGCCAATAAAGGGACTAGTGTTTTTAAAGTTAATCCCCACACCAAAAAAAAAAAAAAAAACCACTAAAAAGACAATCAAATATAAGTGAATGGATACTGAAATTTCTACCTATTAAGAAGGAAATGATAGAGCTGAGACTGAAGAGTCCAGCTGATGTGAAGTGAGGGGAGATGCACAAGAATGCCCAAACTTACAGATAGTACCAATTTGACCTAAGATCGATGGCTTGATGATCACAACTTTACAAGAAGTTAAAAAAAAAATTGATAAAGGAAACAAATATTAATTTCTACAACTTGACTTATACTTATGGATGTTTGTTGTTGTTATGTGCCTTGGAGTCGGTTCCGACTCATAGTGACCCTGCATGGAGTTTCCGAGGCTGCAAATCTTTACGGGAGCAAAAAGCCTCATCTTGCCCCTCTGGAAGAGCTGGTAGTTTTGAACTGCTGACCTTATGGCTTGCAGGCCAATTTGTAACTACTATGCTACCAGAGCTCCTTACTTATGTATATGTAGTACCTCAAAATACCAACTGAGAGGGAAGGAATCTTCATCCTACCCCCTCTGTATGCCGGGTTGATAGGGACAGGCAACTTAGACATTGGCTACCTAAAATGGGGGTGCTATAAAGGCAGGAAGTGACTGGCTTTCAAGTTTCAAGGGGTATTTAATTTCACAGTGTGTGGGGGAAGATAGAATCCCCACTGAATAGTTTTCAGCTGGTCTAGGCAGGTCTGGTGAAAGGAGATGGGGATAAGATTCCTAGATTCAATAGTAATTGTTATCATGACTAATTGCAATTGTCACAACTGTAAAGGTAAGTTTTGTAACATAAAGGGGGGAGTAGTTAATCTTACAGTCCAGAAACAGAGGACCCTAGGATCATAGAGGGAAAAGAGCATGAGTGGAATGTGGGATACTATCCAGGGAAACAGCAACACAGAGATGGAGGCAGAGATGATGACATGGAGAGATAGAGCAGCTGGGACTCTAAACTCATGGAAAGAGAAAGACTGTATGCTGGCAGCCAGGAGGCAGGCTTGTAGAATGTGCCCTTTGGTTGTGTAAATTACTATATATTCCTGAGTGTTTTTGTGTACACCTCCCCAAAACAAAACAAAAAACAGAGGGAATAGAAGTAAATACTATTGAATGATGGTGCACCGAGGGGTTGTAATCATTGCCATGAAACTATGAATGTAAAAACAATATTCTTGCATGGAAGCTATCACTCAATTCACAATAAAAACTTAAAAACAACAAAAAAAGAACTAAATGAAATCTAATTGGTCTGTGAAAAATTATGATAAATATTTCTGAAACTACAATCCAGAAATATTTTTTAAAAATTCTGTCTAGGACTTCAAATTATCAATAAAACAAAGGAGTAATTGTTGAAAGATGTATACAGATACTCTAATACAATATGTTTTCATAAACTATGATTTTGTACAGTAATTAAATATCATTTTTATATATTTCAATAAGAATTTCAATTGATTAAAACAGTTCTTTACAGGACATAGTGAAATTGGAGTTCTCCTGCATCACTAATTGCAATATAATCAATATACGCTTTGTGTAGAACTTGCACTGTCACACCAGCACCTTGTTCACTTTCGTCAATGTTGTTCTGTTTCTGAAGATTTTAGAAAATTATTCAAAAATTAAAAAATTCTATGAGTTGTAGAATATTCATTATAAAATTATAAAGCCACATTGTATATAAAACTGGTCAGAGCAAAACAGTTTTTGATAGGTCATTTCACAGGTTATTTCATAAGATCAAATATGGTATCAAATATGAATTATTTTTCATAAAATGTTCAGGGAAAAAGCTGAATTCAGTAACAATACAGCTTCATGAGGAAATATTGAGAGTATTGGTCAAATTATAAGTAGTGATTGCTAGGGACATGGTTGTTATTGTGAAGCGCCATCGAGTGAGTTCCAACTGAAAGCGGCCCTGTATAGGGTTTCCGAGGAGCAGCTGATGGATGTAAACTGTCGATCTTGTGGTTCAAACTGAATTTATGGTCTAGTGTTTATCCTACAGCCCACAGCAGGACTCCAGGGAGATAGTAGTGCATTACTTTTAAATTAATACTACTCTGTTATTATTTGCAAACAAAATTAACTAAATGTAATTAAAAGATTAAAATATCCCATAATTAAAATACTGATTAGAAGTCATTGGATCTCAATATTTAAATCTGGTGGTGGTTGACCGTTATGTGCTCTGGAAGTCAGTTCCTATTCATAGCTACCCAGTATAGGCTGAAAATCTTTACTTGAGCAGAAAGCCTCATCTTTCTCCCACGGAACACCTGGTAGCTTTGAAATGCTAACCCTGAGGCTAGCAGCCCGACTTGCAACCACTACACTTTATCAATGTTATTGTTAAGTGCAATCAAATCAGTTTAGACTCATAGTGACCCTGTTTAGGGTTTCCAAGGAGCAGCTGTTGGCTTTGAACCACTGACCTTAAGGTTCAAATCAACCTTGCAGTCCAGTGTATTATCCAGCAGCATCACATCAGGTGTTCAAATATATCAATAATGCCTTCTAATTTGGTACTAAAGCATATACATCCTTCCATTAGAGTTTATAACTGACTTCACATATGCTTTAAAAAATTACTGAATTATATATGTGAAGATCGTTAATTTGGCCAATGCTTTGTTACAATAAATACTTTAACACAATTAAAAAGGAAATCCAAAGTCAACAATAGAAAATAATTGAGTTTGCTTTCAAAACTAAGCCCCCTAATAACTTTAAATGAATATGTAATCGTACATGTTGTATATAATATTATGTATTTCATTCCATTTACAAATAGGAGTACATTTATTTTCAACTATAATTAAAATTTTTCCAGGAGAAAAATTTATTTCTACTGTAAATTCATGTGAATGAGGACATTTACTAATTAAATTGTGATAAGATTTAGTACAATTCTAAATTTAAAGCTCAGTTTCCACTATTTTACCCAATGCCCATACTTGATTTTTTTTTCTACAAAATGATGCCCCAGTCTTGAACTTGTATAAAAAGATTGCAGAAGGCTTGCCACTTAAAGAGTTAGTGGAGTCTCGCATTGTTGTTGTTGTTAGGTGTCATTGAGTCAGTACCGACGCATAGTGCCCTTATACACAATAGAACAAAACGCTGCCCAATCCTGGCCCAACCTCACAATTGTTGCCACACTTGAGCCCATTGATGCAGCTACTTTGCCAATCTATCTCACTGGGG